TATAATTTCCTTTTATTGATAAACTATTAATTAAACAATTAATTTTTTATACTTTAATCCACCTGATTAGGTAAGCACTTGTCATCATAACAACAATAAGTTACTTAGTCATTTAGAACGTAGGACCAGGTACATATATGCATTGGTTCAAGTTTCCATACCTCATTAGCATAGCGAGATGAACACCAAATTCATAGAAGCAGTTACTTCAATGGCAGTACTTCATAGAAAAAAAAGTTGCATATAAGGATATGATACAGGGAAAAAGAATTAGTTCGTAGAAGGAAAAGTATAAAGTAATTTTAATCTCATGGTTTAAGAGAAAACAAAGAGTGTATACACCTGCTCCATTGTGATCGATTCTCTTCCAACCATCTCCAACACTGGTCAGCGTTGTGCGTCGTGGTAATTGTTGTTCAGGCATATGTAACACTTGGCCCAACCATCTTAGTCGATGAAGATTTACAACCTCATCAACTGATTTACCATCATTACCTAATACCCTGAGTCTCACCCCACTATTACTTACCCGATGATCCCATCAGATGCCAGCAATACTTCTAGGGCATCTGTGGTCGAATTCTAGTAGCTTACGAGTATCTTCTACTCTTAATGGCCATGTTTCGCTGCCGTAAAGTAAAACAGACCGAACTGCCTCGCAGTATACTCGTCCTTTTATTGATAGACGGAAATCCCGCCTTCATCATAGGTGAGGTAAGTTGGCAAAAGCCAAGCGAGCTTTTCGAATTTGTGCTGAGATTTCGTCATACACCAACCCATTAGGGCTGATCAGACTTCCAAAATAAGTGAAGTTGTCGACGCGTTCGACTACTTCACTCCCTATCCTCAGTTCAGGTGTTGACGCAGACCAGTCCTGAAGCAACAACTTGCATTTAGATGGAGAGAAGCGCATTCCAAACATTCTGGCATTGTTGCTCAGTGCTACCAAAAGACTCTGCATCTTATTAGCGTCTGCACCAAACAGGACTATGTCATCTGCGTATTCTAAGTCGATAAGTAGATCTCCTGGTAGGAGATCAGTTCCTAAAAATTCAGTTGACGAGAGCGTTATTTCCATCAGTATGTCTATGATGAAACTGAACAAAAATGGAGATATTGGAAAGCCTTGCCGAACACCACTTGAGGTTGAAAAGTAGATGACAGTTCGCCACAAACTCTAATACAACTGGAAATGTTTGAGTAGTGAGCCTTCGCAAGGTTCATATATTTCTGAGGTACACAATTCAACGACAGACACTGACATAGTATCACTCGGTCTACAGAGTCAAATGCTGCTTTTAAGTCAAGAAAGACCACCATTGTCAGATGCTGATAAGTATGTCTGTGATCTAAGATACTACGAATGGTAAATATGTGAGCGATGCAGACAAAAACAGGACTGAAGCCAGTCTATGTTCTTTCATGTTTACAGTTCACGAGTCTTTGTTACGTGTTCGATAATTGTTGAGGCTAGTGTTTTACAATGTACATTAGTCAAAGTAATCCCTCTTTCGTTATCATAAAATGATTTTGATAAGTTATCAAAAAATCAGAAATTTTCTTATTGGCATTACAAGATTTGCACTAAAACATTTAACAATGATAATGTTGCCAAAGAGAATAAAGATAACATATTTCACCAATCTAAATTAAATAATTCAAATTGAGCTCTTAATGTCGGATCAGAACTTGATCAAATGCATATCAATCTCAAATTTGCCTACCAATAACACAAATAACAAAACACTACTAGTTATTTATAAGACAAATAATAAAATAAGTATATTTTAGTTAAGATATTGTAGTGATTCAAAGTAAACACTCAATTCTACTGTAATAAACTATTCACTCAAATATGCTTAGACGCATTAGGGGCAATATATATAATAAAAAAATTAACATCAACTGAGTTTGACAGCTTATTTAATCATAACTGCACATAGTTCAGAAGATTCAAAATAAATCGAATCAAATATTCAATGGTCTCTAGTTATTATCAAACTTCCTGCTTATTTTATTTACCTATATATACCAATAAAATTCAAACTAGTAGATTGTTGTTATGTAAACAGTATTTTGAGTGAATAAAATGATAGAAGTAATACTGACACATGAATAATATGGTATGATACAATGTGAATATGGGTGATCAGCAGTTATGAGTGTAATTATACTGGAGAACTACAAATACTATTCATTTACTCATAATTGTGTCAAACAAATGACATGCTGACTCACATACAGAAGTATGAGACAAAACAAATGTGGTTCCAAATTAAACAACACACAGTCAATTAACATAAAATAATATCCAAAGTTTATTAAATATCCATTGATTTTAACATTCCCAACATCAGTCATGTTTCTTCACGTCATAGTGAATAGCATATTTGACGAGAAACGAAGGGTGCAATTCAAGAAGTATATTATCAAATATAACTACCAACTCAAAGATATATAAGACAATAACTACAAATAAACGTCATTATACACATTTACAAGAACTGCACATACCTGAATGATTGTTTCATTTCCCAGATTTGTAATATTCCCTACTAATGACATTTTCAGTTGACTAGATTGAATTATTTGAAAACGATGGGGAGTTGATGAACATAATAATGTCTTAATAGACACTTTTATTAGAACAAATTTAAATGTTAATTAGTAGTCTATATAATTACTGCATTACATATTTTTGTATTTAGAAAGTACAATAAGTTTAGTAATAGTTAGTAAGTTTCTCGTCAAGTGGGAAAGTATTTTGACTGTATAGAGTGTTAGGTTAATCACAACCAATCAAGATATAGATAGATAGATCATATCACACACAGTAATAATGATAGATATGCAATACCAAAAAAAGATATATATATATATATATATATGTGATACAGTCAATCAACATGCACAAATTAGTATTAATTGTAAATTTTCAATATTCAAAGTAGACAAGTTTCCTATCAATGTAAACTAAATTTACTAGTTGATAAACAGTAGCAATTAAAATCGAAATAATAAAACATTTATTTTTTTGAAATGACATCAAAATCATAAGTTCTAAGATGAACAATCTGATTTTTTCGTTTAAACAAATAATATAATTAATCATATTCGTTTATTCACTCATCAATCTCAATGAAACAAGAAACATAAGACAATAGAATCACGAAGACTCATCACTAGATACAACAGATCTTTTCACAGTTTTCTTTGTCTCAGAACTTGAACCACTGTCACTGTCACTATCATCATCAATAGTAGTTTTCTTGTTTGTCCTTTTGCGTGTTTCTGTGGAAGATTCATCTTCAACTGGAACGTCTTTGATCTCTCTTGTTTTGACGATTCTTTTGCGTTGCGTTGTTTCTTTAACATCTTCTTGACCTGGATCTATGATTACTTCTCTTTTAATAGTTCTTGAACTTTCACTACCATCACTTATTTCTCCACGGATTTTACCTCCATCTATTTTGGAGCGGATTAAACCACGCGGTAAACGACGTAATCGTCTCGCTAATAAAATATCGCGTGCAGTTCGTAAACCGTCACCACCAATCACTAAACCTCCTTTGATTCCCACCCCTCTATCAAGACCTATACCTGCTTTGATTCCTGCTCCACTACCAAGACCTAGTTCCGCTTTGATTCCTGCTCCACTACCAAGACCTAGACCTGCTTTGATTCCTGCTCCACTACCAAGACCTAGTTCCGCTTTGATTCCTGCTCCACTACCAAGATCTAAACCTGCTTTGATACCTCCGTCACCACCAACTCCTGCGCCTTCAGACGCGGCATCTAGAAAGACAAAATCATAATGAATACGATGATTAATGTCACTTGAGTAATGTGTTGAAGTGAAAAATAAAAATAAACAAGTTAATTAATTAGGCTTTCTCTTCACCTACCTCCAGTTTGGAAGAAGAGACATGTCGAGGAAATCGTTATGAATAATATCTATTAAAAATTATCATGAAAAAGAGAGTATTTATGAATAAAAATAGAATAATCACACTAACAGATGTGAGCATCATTAGTTGTTTTCAGAAAACCTGGATTGTGTATAAACATTTATTGAGAGGCTTAGAGTACATTTATACTATTTTTTCATATTTTTCACGAGGTTACAATCGATTTATTTACTAACTAGATATGTCACAACGTACAATCAAGATTATCGTAAAATGCATGGAAAAATAATAATGACTAGGTTCTATAACCTCATTTTTCTATATTAAATGTAAATTATTTTGTTTGTGACAAGTGCCATTATTTGATCATTTTGTCCTTTTATTGAAATGATCGATTTTATTGTCATATTGAATCGAATATGTTTATAGAAGGTTATTTTGCTGGATCTACTTCATTCAGATACAAAGTGATTAATAAATAAAATGCATTCTATTCTGTATTCTATAAACTATTTCATTTTGTTTAATTTCCACCATTACCTGATATCAAGTTAACTGTTGAAAACGCTGGACAGATATTTTGTCTGAGTTTGAGACTCCTTAGCAGTGTACACTCTGTTTGATACTGTTAGAAACGCATGTATAGAAAAAATACGTTCTTCCTGTATAGTTATTGCATTAAACTAGTGACAGATTTTATTCCGTATGACAATAAAGTCGATCATTTCAATAAAAGGACAAACTGATCAAATAATGGCACTTGTCACAAACAAAATAATTTACATTTAATATAGAAAAATGAGGTTATAGAACCTAGTCATTATTATTTTTCCATGCATTTTACGATAATCTTGATTGTACGTTGTGACATATTTAGTTAATAAATAAATCGATTGTAACCTCGTGAAAAATATGAAGAAATAGTATAAATGTACTCTAAGCCTCTCAATAAATGTTTATACACAATCCAGGTTTTCTGAAAACAACTAATGATGCTCACATCTGTTAGTGTGATTATTCTATTTTTATTCATAAATACTCTCTTTTTCATGATAATTTTTAATAGATATTATTCATAACGATTTCCTCGACATGTCTCTTCTTCCAAACTGGAGGTAGGTGAAGAGAAAGCCTAATTAATTAACTTGTTTATTTTTATTTTTCACTTCAACACATTACTCAAGTGACATTAATCATCGTATTCATTATGATTTTGTCTTTCTAGATGCCGCGTCTGAAGGCGCAGGAGTTGGTGGTGACGGAGGTATCAAAGCAGGTTTAGATCTTGGTAGTGGAGCAGGAATCAAAGCGGAACTAGGTCTTGGTAGTGGAGCAGGAATCAAAGCAGGTCTAGGTCTTGGTAGTGGAGCAGGAATCAAAGCGGAACTAGGTCTTGGTAGTGGAGCAGGAATCAAAGCAGGTCTAGGTCTTGGTAGTGGAGCAGGAATCAAAGCGGAACTAGGTCTTGGTAGTGGAGCAGGAATCAAAGCAGGTATAGGTCTTGATAGAGGGGTGGGAATCAAAGGAGGTTTAGTGATTGGTGGTGACGGTTTACGAACTGCACGCGATATTTTATTAGCGAGACGATTACGTCGTTTACCGCGTGGTTTAATCCGCTCCAAAATAGATGGAGGTAAAATCCGTGGAGAAATAAGTGATGGTAGTGAAAGTTCAAGAACTATTAAAAGAGAAGTAATCATAGATCCAGGTCAAGAAGATGTTAAAGAAACAACGCAACGCAAAAGAATCGTCAAAACAAGAGAGATCAAAGACGTTCCAGTTGAAGATGAATCTTCCACAGAAACACGCAAAAGGACAAACAAGAAAACTACTATTGATGATGATAGTGACAGTGACAGTGGTTCAAGTTCTGAGACAAAGAAAACTGTGAAAAGATCTGTTGTATCTAGTGATGAGTCTTCGTGATTCTATTGTCTTATGTTTCTTGTTTCATTGAGATTGATGAGTGAATAAACGAATATGATTAATTATATTATTTGTTTAAACGAAAAAATCAGATTGTTCATCTTAGAACTTATGATTTTGATGTCATTTCAAAAAAATAAATGTTTTATTATTTCGATTTTAATTGCTACTGTTTATCAACTAGTAAATTTAGTTTACATTGATAGGAAACTTGTCTACTTTGAATATTGAAAATTTACAATTAATACTAATTTGTGCATGTTGATTGACTGTATCACATATATATATATATATATATATCTTTTTTTGGTATTGCATATCTATCATTATTACTGTGTGTGATATGATCTATCTATCTATATCTTGATTGGTTGTGATTAACCTAACACTCTATACAGTCAAAATACTTTCCCACTTGACGAGAAACTTACTAACTATTACTAAACTTATTGTACTTTCTAAATACAAAAAAATGTAATGCAGTAATTATATAGACTACTAATTAACATTTAAATTTGTTCTAATGAAGGTGTCTATTAAGATATTATTATGTTCATCAACTCTCCATCGTTTTCAAATAATTCAATCTAGTCAACTGAAAATGTCATTAGTAGGGAATATTACAAATCTGGGAAATGAAACAATCATTCAGGTATGTGCAGTTCTTGTAAATGTGTATAATGACGTTTATTTGTAGTTATTGTCTTATATATCTTTGAGTTGGTAATTATATTTGATAATATACTTCTTGAATTGCACCCTTCGTTTCTCGTCAAATATGCTATTCACTATTGACGTAAATAAACATGACTGATGTTGGGAATGTTAAAATCAATGGATATTTAATAAACTTTGGATATTATTTTATGTTAATTGACTGTGTGTTGTTTAATTTGGAACCACATTTGTTTTGTCTCATACTTCTGTATGTGAGTCAGCATGTCATTTGTTTGACACAATTATGAGTAAATGAATAGTATTTGTAGTTCTCCAGTATAATTACACTCATAGCTGCTGATCACTCATATTCACATTGTATCATACCATATTATTCATGTGTCAGTATTCATTCCATCATTTTATTCACTCAAAATACTGTTTACATAACAACAATCTACTAGTTTGAATTTTATTTGTATATATAGGTAAAATAAGCAGGAAGTTTGATAATAACTAGAGACCATTGAATATTTGATTCGATTTATTTTGAATCTTCTGAACTATATGCAGTTATGATTAAATAAGCTGTCAAACTCGGTTGATGTTAATTTATTTATTATATATATTGCCCCTAATGCGTCTAAGCATATTTGAGTGAATAGTTTATTACAGTAGAATTGAGTGTTTACTTTGAACCACTGCATTTTCTTAACTATGGTCTATTTAAGTTGATGTTCGTGATTACTAATACGCATTATTTTCGTTAGCCATCACATTTATTTTGATCTTCACATGCTTTCAAAAGATTTTTCGCAGTATTATGGAAAACGATTTGGTAGAATACATTTTATTATATTGAATTTGATTGATGCTAATACATCTGACGGGTTTGATAATCTGTCAGCTGAGGCTATCCACTTAGAATACCACATATTGTCTGTCCAACATACACAAATTTAGTTACCATTATGCGCTCACATCAACTTACATGTATATATATATATTAAACAACTGTCAATATATTGCTCGGAGAAAACTATATTTAATTTAAATAACAAGCCTTTAAAATGTCAAGACTAATTTCTATTCTTTCATTGGTAAAGTTACCCAAGTTATTTATCTAACTAATTAAACAATTTTTGCCATAATGAAGTTATAAATTCTTTGTGATCACGAAACATCGGGAATTCATTTTTCTACTTTACTATGGTTTCAAGAATATAGCACTTCGGTTGTTAACACGCCACTGAGCTTATTTAAATTTTTTAAGATGACATCCTGATATTTATCTTAAGAACGATTGGATGCAGTCAGATTGGATGGTTGTATACTAGATCTTAGTACTTAAGCTAAAGATAAATCAATGAACACAACAAGAGTAACCTTTTAAAGGGTGGAAATAAAAAGAGGTGACATGATTACATGGATTAAATTGATTTAAGACATATTCATTTATCGTAAACTTAGACAGTATTTTCTGGAAAGGCTGGAGGAAGAATGATAGTTCTGGATGGAGATAAATTATCGGTAATCACAGTTATATTTCTCATATATTCAAAATCTAATAATCAGTGACATTCCATCTTTCATTGAAATATGATTTATAAACATATTCCATTAGGCTATAACTATTAAGATTAAACAAATTTTATACTGTTAGTTTTAATAAAAAACCACTTAAAATAATCAACTCGTAAATATCTCCAGCTTGTAACAAACATACATAATTTTGTTATTTGACCTGTAAAACCACGTAACACGTAACACACTACTTTTACAATCAATAATATCCACTAACTTATTTAGAAATTTCCCATAATTAATTTCACAAATAAATAAAGGTAAGATATTGTGAAAATATTCATTATTTATAGATCAAAGAATGTGCCATAAATAAACAGAATATCAAACGTTGAAAAAAGTACATAACTTTAAAAACTTATGACTTGAGATTTACGCAACGAAAGGTTCAAAAGCGAAGATATAATCCGGAATAGTTCCCCCATCATTTGGATTATTACCAGATGAATTTAGTTCAGAGTTTCCCATCTCTGACGGTGTACCTGAATTATCGCTACGTGCACAGCATGCAGCTTCTAAAAAAGATATGATAATAAGATTATAGCAATATTTAGCATATTCTCATATAATATTAGAAGAAATGTTTAAAATGAAAATAAATGGTTTTCAGTATTTAAATTATAGTGGAAAACTACTTAGCTACTCAACATAAATTTGTTAAGAATTTCTTCTAATCTCTAAATAATTAGGGATATCTCAAACAAATTTACATAGGTTGTAATATACACAGTATTACATGAATTCAATTACCTTGAGAATTAAAATGAATAGAGATCACAAGAATTAGTAATAGTGTTTTTACTTCACTCCCCATGTTTGTTCGTTCTCTACAATTATGAGCACAATTAAACCGTGTGATTTATATACTCCTGAAACATTATTTACCAACAAATAACTTCAGTTGTTTATAGAACTACTTGTAAACGATAATCATTAACAGATTTAATTAAATTTCATATCGATTCGAAGTAATTAATTAGCGGTAAAAATAACAAAATCAAATGACTTTTTTGTTCAAGAAATAAACATTTACTTTTATTTGTATTAAAAATAATAGGGAACATGTTCGACACTTGTAACTGTTGCCCACATTGTGTTTACTTGAAATATATGTCTAACTTAGTTAGAGTTCACCAAATGCATGATTAGTAAACATTGCTTCAATATATGATTTTTTTTCATTATGACTAAACTGAATAATGAAGAAAACCTAACCACTCCTCTAGACAGAATGTCACACATGTACAAACATACAAAATTTATTAGCTACAGATTGTCGAATATATTAACTTTCTGTTTCATGAACAATGTTGAAAGTTCCACTTTCTTTTTTATTTTAATTAAGGGTGAACTTGTTATTGAGTTTTATTATTTATAACTTGAGCAAATTAAAATTCTAGAGACCAAGAAAGAAGTATGAAAATGAATGACGATAGAAATTCGTAAAAAAAAATCAGATCATGAAATGTACATGCACTTATAGGTACAATAAATAGTGTTAATAATAGATATGAATTAAAATACAATTAATAAACTGTATTGTGGCACTTGTACGAACTAATGATTCTTTTGTACTTGATCACCCGTTGATTACAAATCCCAAATATTATATGTTCATTTGTGCTCATCTAGTTCTATCTAGCTTAAATTCCACTATTTCTAGAATTCTTAGTTAGTACATTAATTCGAATACTTCTAATTATCACATGTATGCATCTCATCACTCATCGGGTTATTACAAATATATCATCATCTCTGTTATATACTAGTGTAGCGAACAAAAACTCAGGCACATTGAATCATTTTATTGTTTTATTCAAAATCAAATCTCCTATGTAAAATATGTGAATAATACATTAGCTACATAATTTACGTATCTTCCTTGATTTGTTCTTTACATAGTTCACCATACTTTTAATCCTGTTTCTATTTCAAGTGTCCTCTATTTCTCCTCCTATTCTCTTCATTTCAATCTTCTGGTAAGCGCTGCACTTTCGATTTCTGCCACATACTACTTATATCTTTATGTTGATAACTTTCACTTGTAGATCCTTATTGACTCATTCGCTCAATAAAGTTTAACAGTTAATATGACCGAAGTATTCATACTTCATCCTACTCAACAATATTTTTATATGGCGTTTGAAATGACATTGTTTTTATTAAACAACCTTGGTATGTATATTAATATAGGTGTACACTATCCTTCTTCTATAGTTTAAGAGAAAAACAGGAATCATCTTAACACTTAACTTTAAACCAAATATTCTTTCTACTTCTCACATTTTTATTGGATTTATAACTAGGACTATGTTTATCATTATATTTATCGTACAATGACATACAGATAAATCCCAATTTTCCCATTTATTCTGTGTATTATGATTTTTCTCAACTAAATTATACTTCTATCATCACTCATTACTTGTAAATGAGTTTTATTTATTAGATTAAATACTGATACCACCACTATGGTATGTCCTACTTATGCGGACAGGAAAAAGTAATATATAGCAGGAATTGGAAGTGCAGCGTTTACCAGATAAAGACTGATATAAAAAGAATAGAAGGGAAAATAAAGGGCACTTGAAATAGAAACAGGATTGGAAGTATGGGGAACTATATGATGAACAAATCAAGGAAGGTACGCAAATTATGTAGTTAATCAATGATTTTCATATTTTACAAGGAATTCGTGTGACATTTCGCAAAGCAATAAGTTGATTATTTCCACCAAGTTCTGCTCATTATGTCATCAC